TATGACTATACAGTGGAAGTGACAAATAGATTTAAGGGACTAGATCTGATAGACAGAGTGCCTGATGAACTATGGATGGAGGTTTGTGACGTTGTAGAAGAGATAGGGATCAAGACCATCCCCATGGAAAAGAAATGCACAAAGGCAAAATGGTTGTCTGAGGAGGCCTTATAAATAGCTGTGAAAAGAAGAGAAGCAAAAAGCAAAGGAGAAAAGGAAAGATATTCCCATTTGAATGCAGAGTTCCAAAGAATAGCCAGGAGAGATAAGAAAGACTTCCTCAGGGAACAACAAAAAATAGAGGAAAACAACAGAAAGGGAAAGACTAGAGATCACTTCATGAAAATTAGAGATACCAAGGGAACATTTTATGCAAAGATGGGTTCGATAAAGGACAGAAATGCTATGGACCTAACAGAAGCAAAAAATATTAAGAAGAGGTGGCAAGAGTACACAGAAGAACTGTACAAAAAAGATCTTCATGACCCAGATAATCACAATGCTTTGATCACTCACCTAGAGCCAGACATCCTGGAATGTGAAGTCAAGTGGGCCTTAGAAAGCATCACTACAAACAAAGCTAGTGGAAGTGATGGAATTCCAGTTGAGCTATTTCAAATCCTAAAAGATGATGCTGTGAAAGTGCTGCACTCAATATGCCAGCAAATTTGGAAAACTGAGCAGTGGCCACACGACTGGAAAAGGTCTGTTTTCATTCCAATCCCTAAGAAAGGCAATGCCAAAGAATGCTCAAACTACCACACAATTGCACTTATCTCACAGGCCAGTAAAGTAATACTCAAAATTCTCCAAGCCAGGCTTCAGCAATATGTGAATCATGAACTGCCAGATGTTCAAGCTGGTTTTAGAAAAGGCAGAGGAACCAGAGATCAAATTGCCAACACCCGCTGGATCATCGAAAAAGCAAGAGAGTTCCAGAAAAACATCTATTTCTGCTTTCTTGACTATGCCAAAGCCTTTGACTGTGTGGATCACAATAAACTGTGGAAAATTCTGAAAGAGATGGGAATACCAGAAAATCTGACCTGCCTCTTGAGAAACCTGTTTGTAGGTCAGGAAGCAAAAGTTAGAACTGGACATGGAACAACAGACTGGTTCCAAATAGGAAAAGGAGTAGGTCAAAGCTGTATATTATCACCCTGCTTATTTAACTTCTATGCAGAGTACATCATGAGAAATGCTGGGCTGGGAGAAGCACAAGCTGGAATCAAGATTGCCTGGAGAAATATCAATAACCTCAGATATGCAGATGACACCACCCTTATGGCAGAAAGTGAAGAGGAACTAAAGAGCCTGTTGATGAAAGTGAAAGAGGAGATTGAAAAAGTTGGCTTAAAACTCAGCATTCAGAAAACTAAGATCATGGCATCTGGTCCCATCACTTCATGGGAAATAGATGGGGAAACAGTGGAAACAATCTCAGACTTTATTTTCCTGGGCTCCAAAATCACTGAAGATGGTGACTGCAGCCATGAAATTATAAGACTCTTATTCCTTGGAAGGAAAGTTATGACCAACCTAGACAGCATATTAAAAAGCAGAGACATTACTTTTCCAACAAAGGTCCATCTATTCAAGGCTATGGTTTTTCCAGTGGTCATGTATGATGTGCGAGTTGGACTATAAAGAAAGCTGAGCACCGAAAAATTGATGCTTTTGACGTGTGGTGTTGGAGCAGACTCTTGAGAGTCCTTTGGACTGCAAGGAGATCCAACCAGTCCATCCTGAAGGAGATCAGTCCTGGGTGTTCATTGGAAGGACTGATGCTGAGGCTGAAACTCCAGTACTTTGGCCACCTCATGCAAAGAGTTGACTCATTGGAGAAGACCCTGATGCTGGGAGGGATTAGGGGCAGGAGGAGAAGGGGACAACAGAATGACATGGCTGGATGGCATCACTGACTCAATGGACATGAGTTTGAGTAAACTCCGGGAGTTTGTGATGGACAGGGAGGCCTGGCGTCCTGCGATTCATGGGGTCGCAAAGAGTCGGACATGACGGAGTGACTGAACTGAACTGATGCATAACTTTATATTATCTACACTATGTTCTTTATTTCTTTGGAGGGTCAGATTATTGTCTAGTGGTCTTTCATGGCAGTCCAGGGCTCACTTATTTTAGTATTTCATGTAGGGCAGGTCTGCTAAAGAGAGATTCACTTAATCTTTGTTTATTTGAATGCGTCTTGATTTTGTCTTAATGTTTGAAGTGTGGTTTGGCTGAATATGAAATTATTGATTGATAGTACTTTGAATATGTAATACCACTGCCTTCTGGTCCCATGGCTTCTGATGATACATCAGCTGTTAATCTTTTTGTGGCTCACAGCATTTGTTGAGTCCTCTCTTTTGCTGCTTTGAAGATTGTCTTTGTCTTTTGAAGCTTTATTTTGCAGTATCTGGGTATATATCTCTAAATTTTTCCATTTCACAGTGTGTTGAGCTTTTTAAATATTTTTCTTTTACTTCAAATACTCTTTTTTGCCTCCCACTTCTATTCTCTGCCACCCTTCTTTACTCTATTATAAGCATATCTGATTGCTTAATGATGTCCCATAGGTCCTTGAGGTTCTGTTCTTTTCTCCTTTTTTATTTCTGTTCCTCAGGCTATATAATATCAATTAACCTATTTTCAGGTTCTCTGATTCTTCTGCCAGCTCGAATTTGCTTTTGAGCCTATCTAATGAATTTTCAGTTTCAATAGTTATACTTTTTAATGCCATAGTTTCCCATTGCTTATTTTCTGAAATAGAGTGTCTCTTTACTGACAATCTCTATCTAGTGAGATATCAGTCCCATGTTTCCTTTTATTGATATAGATATTATTTCTTTTGTTCTTTGAATATATTTACAAAAGTTGATTTAAATTCTTTGTTAGTAGATCTAATGTCAGGCCCTCCTCAGGAAGTTTTTATGGTCTATTTCTTTTCGCCCTGTACATGGGCCAGACCTTCCTCCTTCTTTGTATGTGTCACAGTTTTTGTTGAAAATGAGATATTTTAAGTAATACATGTTAAATGCTAAATTTTCTATAATTAAGAGTGAAAGTTTCAAAATAGATGTTCAGGATTTCTTGCAAGAATCAGTGTATGAATACAAATCTTCTGAGTGATTTTTAAAAAAATTTTCTTCTAGCTCCCTCTATGTCTTTTGTACTCCCTTTTATTTCACAGTTCTCAACCTGACAGCACAGCTTCTAATAAGCCATTCCGAGGCTGAAATAGAATTATTCAAGAGGAGAAACAGTACTGAGCCAAGAGTCACGTAATCTAAGTTCTAGACCCAGCTCTGCCCTTCTCTATCTGATGACCCTGGAAAGTTACTTTTAAATCTCTGAGTCTCTTTCCCTCACTTAGGCAAAATAAAGTGGCAATTTATTTAGGTTATAGAGTTGTAGTAAGGCTAAATAAAGTTTCAGATAACCAGTTTGTAAAACACAAAATGGACACAATTGAAGGGTGCTACTGAGCCCAGTATTTCTAGTTTTTTCAATTTCTGGTGAAACTTTGATGATTCATAGCAAGCAGTAACTGTTAGGATATTCATTCATACTCATTTTGCAACAGCTAACCAGGGCATTTTCACATTGTACCATTGGTAAATTAAATTTTATTCAGATAATGCTGATATTCATGAAGCATTTAGGTTTGCTGAATTTCGCTGCTATATAATAAAATAAAATTGCATTAATAAAATTATTTATATGCTTTAATCTTCAAAAGCAGCTCCTAGGAGAAATTCTCTGTGCTATATAATTGGAAGAAAATTGTAGTGTCGCAGTCCAGTTAGCTTGTCACAGACACAAAGAAAGGCCATATGTAATAAAATAAAAATGCCTTCAATGTGCAAACTAAGGGAAGTGACTTCCTTTAAAAATATAACTCACATTAGGTGAAATCTATATGGATTAGACTGGTAATACTAAGCATTTCCAAAAATGTTACCATATTCCTATGGATTTTTTATTTTTATTTTTTTATTTTTTTTGAAAAAAATCCTCAATTTTACTGTATGAAAGTGTTGATTACAATATATAAAACAAATGCTTTTATATAGAGATACATTAATAGGTCCTGAACATTCATGTTTACAACCATTTTGTTACTTTTGCTCAGTCAGTTGTCATTTTTTGAAGCTGTACTGTTTAAATCTTTTTCATCACTTAAAACTTGAAGTGATGTCTATACCTATTTCTCTTGAAATCTTTGTAACTATTTGACAGTATGCGCCTACTAACCTAAAATAAACATAGGCTTTTATCAATATAGATTTGGGTTTTTAGGCTATACTGTGGACTACTTGGCAAAACACAAATAGATCATCTTCTGTAGTAAGTCCCTCCATCAACCTAACCAGCCTCAGTTATTTAACTTATACTACTTCTGACACAAAGCCTCTGTTCTACTCCAAAAACTGTTCCACAAGCTCTGAATTTCCCCAAACCCCTGCACACACACACACCCTGCCATTAAGTCCCTTTTCCATCAACACAATATGGAAATACCATCCCATTTATTCTTGCACCAAGCTACAATTCAAGAATTATGTAAACTGTTTCCAATTGAATACATATTTGTGTCTTCTCAAGCATTCTATTTTAAACAAACATTATAAAGTTATAAAAATATTAATTTAAAAATATTTTTATTTATGTAATAACTATTAAAGTTACATTAAATCTCCAACAGTTTCTGAATATCTGATATAAATTTCATGTAATATTATTTTTAGCAAAAGAAGGAAAAATAGGTCATATTGACATCAATCTATTATTGTAAATAATCATATAGGATGTAGAGTACATATATGATATTGAAGATATAGGAGTGAATTATGTTGTGCAACTAGGAAAATATCACCTATTATCACATCTAAAGCAAAAACTATCTATACTCTTAAGGGTTTTTTAATATATCTTGAAATCTTTCAGCAGAATGGAAAGAAATCCATGTATTTCCTTGATGAAGATGTTTATGGAGATTACAAAGAGGTATCTCCTAAAATGCAGACTATCTGCTTTCCAATGTTACCTCCTGTCATCATGGACTGGAATGCAGCTCCCATGTTTTCCAATCCATTTATCATAGTCTCTTTGATCTTTAGCTTCCCTTCTTTAAACCATTGACTCAGCTGGAGAATACCAGACTCAAATTTATCCTTATAATTTAACACCAGAAATCTTTCTCTTGTGATGTTTCTTTCTTTCTGGATTGCTTCTATAGCAGGGGGTAGTGGTGGAGCATAAGGCACATCTTTGTTGTACTGAGAAATTTGACCACATAGGATGATGTGGCTGTTCTGATTCATCTGACTTATCACTGTATCACTGATGTCACCGCCAACATTGTCGAAGTAAACATCCACTCCAGCTGGGCATAATTTATGGAGTTGTTCTGCAACATTCCCCTCTTTATAATTAATTGCAGCATCGAAGCCCAATTCTGAGGTCAAAAAGAGGCACTTCTCAGGTGTTCCACAAATTCCCACGACTCTGGAACAGCCCAGCAAATGGCCAGTCTGCCCAGCCAAGCATCCACAAGCACCAGCAGCCCCACTAACAGCCGTTGTCTGATTAGATCCAGCAGTTATATGACCTTTTTCCTGTACCCCAATCAAGGAAGTCAAACCAGGCATCCCTGTAGCTCCAAGAAAGTATGAAAGGTGTCCATTCACAAGCTGTGGGTCTACCTTTTCAAGGATATTTCCATCCAGAATAACCTTGGTTTGCTAGGGCCAATAGAAGGAAGTCACAAAATCGCCTTTCATAAAATTTGTGTGTTTGCTTTCTTCTATAATCCCAACACCTGCATCATCAACCACCTGAGACAGCTGCCAAGGTGTTATATAGTCACTGCTAGTGTCTTCATTCATCCTACAACGCATGTAAGGATCCACGCAAAGATAAAGAGTTCTGACTTGTACTTGTCCTTCATTGACACAATCTGGTAAGTTTACTTCTTCTACTCGGAAATTTTCTGCCACTGAATGACCATTTTTTCCAGGTCTGGAATTCAATACTACTCTTTGTACAATCATCACCTTGTTTGCACAGTGGTCTCACAAGACTTCTGTATAAAATAACTCCGCTGATGAGTTCGGGAGCTCCTATGGATTTTTTAAACTAATCTACTAATTATGAGATTAATTCAGATTACGGAAAGATTTTTATAAGGTTATTTTTCTAAAATCATGGCTTACTTTGAGGTGTTGTGGCACTCAGTCCTCACATGAGTCTGTCTCTCTCCTATCTGACGATTGATTCTCACGTACTTCTACTGTGAGCTCCATCATTAAGCTACTATAAAGGATCCCACAATTTACTCTGTATCTGTTACTCACAGAATATTCATTTATAAGGTAGTCCTAGTTGAAATTGTAGAACTTAACCAGATATATTCTCTGTATCTCAGTCTGTTGACGCTAATAAACATCCAAAAATTATTACAAGGGTTTTGAGAGAAACTATCTTAGAGATTTGCTTAAAATTCTGATTATGGTCTACAGGAGATAGGGTGGATCACACTAATCTGTTCTGTGATCTGAGGAAAGTCTTCAGAGGGAGCAAACACTAAGGTTGATTTTAAATGTTGTATGGAACATCACCAAAAAAAAAAAAAAAAAAGAGAGAGAGAGAAGAGTTTGAGATGGGCTTTCTAAGCAAAGATACAGAGACAAAAATGAAAGAACATGACATGGAGGGAAATCAAGAGACATTCTGGGCACCAATACCGTACTGCACATGAAAGAATAGTAAAGATGTTACTTAAAAAGAGGGTGGACACTATGACATAAAAGGCTTTTATGCCATGAAGAGTTTTAGTAGGAAATTTTTATATGAATTATATAAAACTAATGACCACAGGACTGGAAAAGGTCAGCTTTCATTCCAATCCCAAAGAAGGGCAATGCCAAAGAATGTCCAAACTACTGCACAATTGCATTCATCTCACAAGTTAGCAAAGTAATGCTCAAACTTCTCCAAGCCAGGCTTCAACCAGTATGAGAACCGTGAACATCCATATAGTCAAGCTGGATTTAGAAAAGGCAGAGGAACCAGAGATCAAATTGCCAACATCAGCTGGATCATTGAAAAAGCAAGAGAGTTCCAGAAAAAACGACTTTTGTTTTATTGACTATGTCAAATCCTTTGACTGTGTGGATCACAATAAACTGTGGAAAATTCTTAAAGAGATGGAAATACCAGACCACCTGACCTGCCTCATGAGAAATCTGTATGCAGGTCAAGAAGCAACAGTTAGAACTGGGCATGGAACAACAAATGGGTTCTAAATCAGAAAGGAGTATATCAAGGCTGTATGTTGTTACCATGTTTATTTAACTTATATACAGAGTACATCATGAGAAATGCAGGGCTGGATGAAGCACAAGCTGGGGTCAAGATTGCCGGGAGAAATATCAATAACCTCAGATATTTAAATGACACCACCCTTATGGCAGAAAGTGAAGAACTAAAGAGCACCTTGATGAAAATGAAAGAGGAGAGTGAAAAAGTTGGTGTAAATCTCAACATTCAGAAAACTAAGATCATGGCATCTTGTCCCATCACTTCATGACAAATAGGTGGGGAAACAGTGGAAACAGTGAGAAACTTTATTTTGGGGGGCTCCAAAATTGCTGCAAATGGTGACTGCAGCCATGAAATTAAAAGATGGTTGCTCCTTGAAAGAAAAGCTATGTTCAACCTAGAAAGCATATTAAAAAGCTGAGACATTACTTTGCCAACAAAGGTCCATCTAGTCAAAGCTATGGTTTTTCCAGTAGCCATGTATGGATGTGAGAGTTGGACTATAAAGAAAGCTGAGCACCGAAGAATTGATGCTTTTGAACTGTGGTGTTTGAGAAGACTCTTGAGAGTGTGTAGGGCAGCAAGGAGGTCCATCCTAAAGGAAATCAGTCCTGAATATTCATTGGAAGGACTGAATCTGAAGCTGAAGCTCCAATAATTTGGCCACCTGATGTGAAGAACCGAGTCATTGGAAAAGACCCTGATGCTGGGAAAGATTGAGGGTGGGAGGAGAAGGGGACAGTAGAGGATGAGATGGTTGGATGGCATCACTCATGAGATGTACATGAGTTTGAGTAAGCTCTGGGAGTTGGTGATGGACAGGGAGGCCTGGCATGCTGCAGTCCATGGGGTCGCAAAGAAAAATATATTTTACTAAGTCATACTTGTTTTAGTCTATTTACTCTGATAATTTTCAAAGTGTATGGGAAACATGTGACATGTGGTTAAGATGGTACTTTTCCTTATGGGTTTATATTGTTTTCATTTGATATTTATTTCTCCATGTTCTTCTACTTACCTGTTTAATTTTTTTTTTTTTTTTTTGGCTCTGCTGGTCTTTATTGCTGTGCAGGCTTTCTTGAGTTGCAGCAAGTGGGGGCTACTCTCTAGCTGTGGTGTGTGGACTTTTTGTTGGGGTGGCATCTCTTGTTGTGGCTCATAGATCTAGAATGCAGGCTCAGTAGCCCATGTGACACATGGACTTAGTTGCTCCATGACATGTGGAATCTTCCTAGACTAGGGATCAAACCTATGTATACTGAATTTGTAGGCAGATTCTTAAAACACTGAACCACCAGGGAAGTCCCTGTTTAATTATATTTTTTAAAATATTGTACACATATATCTTTGTAAATTATCTCTCAATTCCTAATTGAAAGAAGGCCTGGTTTCATCCACCTCATTAGAACTGATTCAAATGTATTCTTTTTAATGGCTGAGTAATATTCCATTGTGTATATGTACCACAGCTTTCTTATCCATTCATCTGCTGGTGGACATCTAGGTTGCTTCCATGTCCTGGCTATTGTAAACAGTGCTGCGATGAACATTGGGGTACAGCAAAAGAGACACAGATGTATTGAACATCTTTTGGACTCTGTGGGAGAGAGCAAGGGTGGGATGATATGGGAGAATGGCATTGAAACATGTAAATTATCATATGTGAAACGAATCACCAGTCCAGGTTCGATGCATGATACAGGGTGCTCAGGGCTGGCGCACTGGAATGAGGAGGGAGGTGGGAGGGGGGTTCAGGATGGGGAGCACATGTACACCCACGGTAGATTCAAGTCAGTGTATGGCAAAACCAATACAATGTTGTAAAGTAAAATTAATTAATTAACTAAAAAATAAAATGCAAACAAAAAAAAGAAAAAGAAAGAAAGGAGGCCTGGTATGAATGTATATACAACTGGACTATACTTGTTAGATGTTGCTATGGCCCAGTTGACCTTACATATAGGAAGACAAAGTTACAACAAATAGAATCAATACATATCTCTGGTTACATGGATTGGTTACCAATCCAGAAGACTAAAGTGAATGAGAAAATATGAAGAACTCACTGTGGGAGACATAGCTCCTAGACATACTACTATAAGAGACATAGCCCTATGCCTGCTTATTGTCTTTTTCTATGGTCTAAAAGAGAAAACTGTATTTAACACACATGTGTTATTCTTAAATTTATTTTATCATTGTCATGTCAGTAGTCTTGTAAAATATTGCATAACACATACATACACACATACACAAGTACAAGTTGTTATTGTTCAGTCATTATGTCATGTCTGACTCTTTGTGACCTCATGGACTGCAGTACGCCAGGCTTCCCTGTCCTTCACTATCTCCCCGAGTTTGCTCAAACTCATGTCCATTGAGTCTGTGATGCCATCCAACCATCTCATCCTCTGTTACCTGCTTCTCCTGTCTTCAGTCTTTCCTAGTATCAGGTTTTTTTCCAGTGAGTCAGCTCTTCACATCAGGTGGCCAGAGTAGTGGAATTTCAATTTCACCACCAGTCCTTGCAATGAATATTGAGGGCTGGCTTTCTTTAGAAGCAAAAAGCATCAATTCTTTGTCACTTAGCCTTCTTTATGGTTCAACACTCACATCCATGCATCATTACTGGAAAAGCCATAGCTTTGACTAGAGAGACCATTGTTGGCAAAGTGATGTCTGGTTTTTAATATAGATTTGTCTAGATTTGTCATAGCTTTTCTTCCAAAGAGTAAGTGTCTTCTAATTTTGTGACTGCAGTCATCATCCACAGTGGTTTCGGAACCCAAGGAAATAAAATATGTCACTGTTTCCATTGTTTCCCCATCTATTTGCCATGAAGTAATGGGACCAGATGCCATGATCTTAGTTTTTTGAATGCTTAATTTTTAAGCCAGCTTTTATCATCTCCTCTTTCACCTTCATCAAGAGACTTGATGGCTCTTCGTTTTCTGCCATAAGGGTGGTGGTATCTGCATATGTGAGGTTGTTGATATTTCTCCTGGCAGTCTTGATTCCAGCTTATGATTCATCCAGCCCAGCATTTCTCATGATGTACTCTGCATATAAGATAAGTAAGCAGGGTGACAGTATACAACCTTGATGTTCTCCTTTCCCAATTTTGAACCAGTCTGTTGTCTCATGTCCAGTTTTAACTGTTGCTTCTCGACCTGCATACAGATTTGTCAGGGGACAGGTCAGGTGGCCTGGTATCCCAATATCCTTAAGAATTTTCCAGTTTGTTGTGATCCACACAGTCAAAGCCTTTAGTATAATCAGGGAAGTAGATTTTTTTTTAATTCCCTTGCTTTTTCTATGATTCAGCAGATGTTGGCAATTTGATCCAGTGTTTCTCTTAAAAATGAGAGGAAAAAAATCACCACATAGGGTGATTTGCATTGTGGCTACAATCAACAAGATATCTTCATGAGCCATGTGTCATCTTGGCTCAATGTGTGCTCTCTATCCAATACTTTGTGGTGAACTAAATGTGTTGAAAAGCAGAGGCATTACTCTGTTGACAAAGGTCAGTATAGTCACAGTTATGCTCTTCGCAGTGGCCATGTACAGTTGGGAGAGCTGGACCCATAAAGAAGGCAGAGCACCAAAGAATTGATGCCTTTGATCTGTGGTGCTGGAGACGACTCCTTAGAGTCCTTTGGACAGCAAGGAGATTAAAATAGTCAATCTTAAGGGAAATCAGCTGTGAATACTCATTGGAATGACTGATGCTGAAGCTGAAGCTCCAGTATTTTGGTCACCTGATGGGAACAGCCAACTCATTAGAAAAGTCCCTGATGCTGGGAAAGATTAAGGGCAGGAGGAGAAGGCAGCATCAGAGGATGAGATGGCATATTGTGGTTTTGGAGAATATATTGTGGTTTTGGAAGCCCGTTCCTTAGCAGTCAACTTCATTCATACTTTCAGTATTTGAAACATTTAAATCAGTCAAGCTGGAACAAAATGTCTAAGTAAATAAGAAATCATATTAATTGTAGTGTCCTCATGAGGACCACAGGCATGACAATATGGACCTTTGTCAACACATTATATCTACTAGTCTTAAACAAACTTGAATATGTGGAGGAAATTCAGTTAGATTTCAAAGAGATTATTTCAAAGTACACATGAATTCTCAGAGTATGATTTTAAAAAGTTGGCTCCCTATGAATGGCTCCCTCAGATAGACCAAATGTGTGCATAACTGCTGAGGGATGGTTTAGTTTGCATTCACCACTATTGGTGGTGTTTTCTTTTCTTTTCTTCTCATTGGAGTATAGTCGCTTTACAGTGTTGTGCTAGTTTCTCCTGTACTGCGGAGTGCATCCTCTGTATACGTACATGCATCCCCCTTTGTTTGGATTTCCTTCCCATTTGTCATTGCTGCTGTTCAGTCACCCAGTTGTGTCTGACTCTTTGAGATCCCATGGACTGCAGTATATATGCCAGGCTTCCCTGCCCTTCACTATCTTCCAGAGTTTGCTCAAACGCACGTCCATTGCATCAGCGATGGCATGTAGCCATCTCATCCTCTGATACCCTCTTCTCCTTCTGCCCTTAATCTTTCCCAGCATCAGGAACTTTTCTAATGAGGTGGCTGTTCGTATCAGGTGACCAAAATATGGAGCTTCAGCATCAGTCCTTCCAGTGAGTATTCGCAGTTGATTTCCCTTAAGATTGATCTGTTTTGATCTCCTTGCTGTTCAAGGGACTCTCAGGAGTCTTCTCCAGCACCATGGTTCAAAGGCATCAACTCTTTGACACTTGACCTTCTTTATGATGCAGCTCTCACAACTGTACATGACCACTGGGAAGACCATAGCTGTGACTGTACGGACCTTTGTCAGCAGAGTCATGTCTCTGCTTTTAACACACTTAGGTCACCACAAAGCGTTGGATAGAGACCCCTGTACCAAACAGCAGGGTCTCACTCGTTATTTTATACATAGTATCAATAGCGTATATATGTCAATCCCAGTCTCCCAGTTCATTCTACCCCACGCATTTCCCCTTGGTGTCGGTATGTTTGTTTTCTATGTCTGTGTCTCTGCTTCTGCATTGTAAATAATATTGTCTATACCAGTTTTTTCAGATTCCACATATAAGATTAATATAGGATATTTGTTTCTCTCTTTCTGATTTACTTCACTCTGTATGATAGTCTCTAGGTCCATCTATGTCTCTACCTAATGTTTTTGTTTGTTTGTTATATTCTCATACTATAGTTTTTTATATATATGATGCTTATTGTAATCTTCCTGAGTTTCCATATGTATCTTTGTGCCAAAAAATATGTTCCCTAAATACTTAAGCTAGAACAGATGATATTTTAGATGTTTTTATTATTATGGTCTTTATTTATTCTTAGTTTGAATTTCTTTGTTTGTATTGAAACATTTCAGTTGTGTCAGGCAAGAACTGTTTTTCTTGGACAATATAAAATTATAATCATTCTAAAAAAAACTGAATGTAAATGGCCCATTAAAAGATTTATTAAAAAAAAATTGGGTGGTGTAAAGAAAAGGATCTAGAATGAGAATCAGTAGGATGGCAACTACTTTAAATTCCCTTTTTCCCATTATTTTGAAGCTTATCCCCCAAATTATCTTATTTACTATAAGACATTCTAACTTCTTTTCTTCCTGAATTATCTCACTACTTCTACTTTCTAATTATCCTTCTTCATTCAACAACTGCTTACATGCCAGGTACAGTGACATTCACACACTTGTAATGAATTTTAACTGTGAATTTACCTCTTATATCAGGCATCTCAAGCTTTCCAAGTTGAAAGTTAACCAAGTCAATAAAGGAATCATTTGGAAACAACTAGAAAGAATGGCAAGACTTTTCTGAAATGTAAGTAAAAAGCAAGGTTCTTTAAAGAGAGATATATTTCCTGATCACTGATGCATTTAAAATATAAACATTTCCATGAGTTTTTCTCTGAACAATGGTCATCCTTTTACATTGCTCAAGACATATTTGGGCTCTGGCCGTTATGGAACAACCAGGAGCAGATTTACTAACCCCCTCCTCTGGCCAATACACACATGCTTTATAAAAAAGAACACCAGACAGCCTTTAAGAACTCCCAGTTTTCAGGTATTGTACAGACAGAGCAGGAGGTGTGTCTCTAAGCAGTTGGATGTAAGCGAGATGAGCGCTGCTTCGGTGTGCCGCCTGGAGGCCGTTCTCAGGCCTGCGCAGGGTAAGGAGACAGACGCCTGGGCCTCTTGACCGAAGAGCCGTCTCGGAGTCCAGTCGCCCAGGAGGCTGGAGCGTGCAGAGCAGAAACCAGAGAAAAGGCGCTTGCCCGGGGAGAGGGTGTGTCTGCAGCTCCTGAGGTCAGAGGCGGCTCTTCCAGCCTTTGCTGGACTGTTCATTTTCGCATATGTAACAAGGAGGTACTTGAGGCCAGGGCAAGATGACAAAGAATTTCCAAAGCTCACAGATGGCGCAGAACAGTTAGTTTTCCTATTTGACAGTTACTTGGAATCAGTTTGATCACTTTGAGGTTTGTTTTAAACTGTTTCTGTTGTTGTTGTTGTTGTTGTTGTTAAGAGTAGGTTTAAAATGGACTTCTTAGACCCGGAGGGATCCGGTGGAGAGGAAGGTGGGAGGGGGGACCGGGATGGGGAATACATGCAAATCCATGGCTAATTCATTTCAATGTATGACAAAAACCACTGCAATGTTGTAAAGTAATTAGCCTCCAACTAATAAAAATAAATGAAATAAAGAAAAAAGAGGGAAGGGACATACGTATTCCTGTGGTTGATTCATTTTGAAATATGGCAGAAACCAACAGTATTGTAAAGCAAATATCTTGCAATAAAAAGTTTAAAAATAAAAAAAAAATAAAATGGACTTCTTAGAACTCTTTTAGCTCTACGACTAAGGCACTATCCCTCTGGAGTCTGCTCCTACTCGACAGGAGTCTACCCGATTCCTGTATTGTGAGGCCTTTTTACATGCTGAAGTCTGCAAAAATAAATGAGTCTTGACCTTTGTCTCATAATATATATAAAAATTGACATGAAATGGATTATTGACTCCAATAAGAACTAAAGCTATAAGACTTTTTGAAGCAAACTAGAGAAAATCTTTGTGATTGGGTTAGGCAAAGATTTTTTCAAAATAAGACAAAAACCATAAATCATAAAAGAAAAGATTGTTGAATTTCATTTCATCAAGATTAAAGATGTTTGTTCTTCATAAGACAATTAAGCAAATAAAAAGTCAAGACACAGATTGGATGAAAGGATTTGCAAACATGGAACTAACACAGAATTTGTATGCACAATATATAAGGAACTCTGACCATATAATAATAAGAAGACAACTGATTTAAAAATGGATAAAGCAGAAAGTTGGAGAAGGAAATGGCAAGCCACTCCAGTATTCTTGCCTGGGATATCTCATGGACAGAGGAGCCTGGTGGGCTACAACCCACGGGGTGGCAAAAGAGTCTGACATGATTTAGCAACTAAACAGAAAGTAAGAAAAAAGTTTCAAGGAAAGGATGAGGCCATATTAAAAGGATACAGTAAATATTATAAAAGAATATGACCATAATAAGACAAAATCTCAACTACAATGAACATGTTAAATACCCTGTTAAAATAAAGAATTTCGGATTGGGTTTTAAAAATCCAGCTATGTGTTACTTGCAAGCAGTAAAATTCAGGTTTGATGGACCTAATGCTTATAAAAGTTTGTGGCTGACTTTAAGAAAATGAGTGTACCATTATAAATATAATCTGTCACACAGCTTTGGAAGGTTCCTGAAATTGACATTTTATTAGTTTGCTGTTAAAGCTGACTCTAGTCACAAGATTTGCACATAAAAAACAAAATAAATAGGAAAATTAAAAGTAGAGATTAACACAGGCAAACTTAGAAAGAATAACACTAATAGATAAGTAAACTTTAGTACAGAAATAATTGGCAGAAAGTAGAGGGTCAGTTTGTGTTCACAAAGTTGCCCTCAAGCCTAACAGTCATGAAGAGTCTTGTACTGAATAAGACAACATATATTTGGCAAAATATGTCTGGAATACAGAAATTTGAGATGAAAAGTATTTCAATATAGAAATATCAATCTGTTAGAGTTTAAGGATGTACAGTACTACTAAGGGCCTTAAATTTGAATGATATAATTTGATTTACATATATTGTTGAATAATATATCACTTGTAGAGATGTTAAATTAAAAAAAATAAGTATAATATTAAGTACATACAAGCCTAACATATTGTGGGCACAGCAATTAGAGTTTGGTTAAGAAATATTCTATCTTTATTTTAAATAATCCATAGGGTATTTATTAGACATGCAATAATGCCAGGTCATACTTCAGAAGAAGTGTCAGTTAAATACTCATTGGAAGATTTCCATAGGAACTTAGTTATTCAACAAAATTACATATAGAGCTAAAAGTTTTATCTATAGTGGTTGCCTGCTTTATTATTTTTTCTTTACTCATTTCTCCTTTACACTCTCAGTTTTGCTAACTTTACAGGAGACATTTTCCAATGTCCTCTTGTGATAGATTAGAAATGACTGCTCCCCTCTTCAATTTTGGACCACTGCAAAGTGACTTTTTCCAATACTTATTACTAGGCTTAAGTAGAGTTATTTGATAGAAATCTACCAACATGTGCCCGTGGGTAAGATGTATCTAAGAATTGAATGAAATGGTACTTTTTCAACACAATACACAAAACCTTTGAGAGTTAAATTAGGAGAGTCTGAGAATTTTCATCATTCAAAAAATGCTATTCAAATATGAGTCTGTAGTTGTTCCTATTTCATTCATTGCTATTATACTCATTTTTTCCTGATATACATTGAAAAGAATTCCTTTCTTTCTTTTCTGACTTATTCATGAGATGATACACTTTAACCAGTGTGTCCCACTTCACTGCTTGACATATAAATGAGGTCTCATCTCATTTTGAAATTTGAATCAGTTGTTTAAGCACTCAATGGTCTCTTAAATGTCTCTCTTGGTTCCATTTTTTTTTCACCAAATATTGTTCTAGAATCCTACAGACTTAAGCATTACAGAGGTATTCTTGCTTTCAGATGCCTCATTTTTGAAGAAAAAAAGAGAAAATGCATTAATTCTAGTAATAGTTCAAAAATAGAAACTGCATTTTGTACTATAGTTACTTTGATTCTGCCACACAAATGCCCCTCTTAAAAACAAAAAAAGACTGTATTTGTTGACTGCTGAGATGATTCCATTCCTGTCCAGATTGCCACAAAGGCGCTGGGTAGTACTTTTTAAGAGAGAATAACACCATTACTTTAGAGTTATACTCAGGTTTTGCAAATACTCTTTTTATCTCCCAGTGGGCTGATCAGAAAAATATGTGATATTGGGAAGGATAACCTTCTTTAATATACAGAAAAGATTTTGTTGTGCCCTGACCCCAGGGTAATTACTGGCCTTGAAAAGTGAAAGTGTTAGTCAGTCAGTCATGTCCAGTTCTGTGATCCCATGGACTGTAGTCCGCCAGGTTCTTCTGTCCATGGAATCCTCCAGGCAGGAATACTGGAGGGGGTAGCCATTCCTTTCCCCAGGGGATCTTCCCAACTTACAAATCAAACTCAGGTTCCTACATCGCAGGCAGATTCTATACCATCTGAGCCACCAGGGAAGCCCAATTAGTGACTTCACAGTTACATAACTAAAGATGTCACATATTTGTTCTTGAAAGAAGCTGAATTGATCTCTGGCATCTTCTTTCCCTGAAATGTGAAGTTCTATATAATTAGATGCTGAACTACATATGTTCTTTTAGAAGACACCTGAGTTATTTGGCCCCAGTATCTCTCTGGAAAAAACAACACAGGAACATGTAGATCTATCAAGTAATGAATGACTTATTTCATCAAGAGAAGTAAACTTGCTTTTTATTGATTAATCAATAATTAAATAAATATAAAACTATTAAGCTTATCAACAAGTGATAGAGATAAGGCTTTCATTTATGAAGTATGTTGAGCTAGATAAGTTGAAAATTTGCCTTTTTTTTTCCCCCCGATGACCATTTTTAAAGACTTTATTGAGCTTGTTATCATATTGCTCCTGTTTTATGTGTTTTTGTTTTGTTTTTGGCCATGAGGCCTGTGGGATTTTAGCTCCCCAACCAAGAAAGCTAAGACCTGCACCCCTGGCATCGAAAAGCAACATCTTAACCACTGGATCATTAGGGAAGGTCCCCCAAATTGCCTTTTTCAAAACACTGAATATGCTTTTAAAATGCAATTAAAAAATTAAAATACATGGGAAATTAGGGAAAACGCACAGAAGGAAGAGAAAATAGAAATCATATTGTAATAATAATGTACTTTGCACTTCCTCAGGTACATGTATCAGTCTCAATAATCTATAGTTTTGAACTTTAGCCAAAAAAAGGACAGGGGTAAAAGCATTAGGTCTACAAAGTCAGGGAGTTAGAATGAGGAGTGTAAATAAATCTGGGACTCTTAAATTAAAGAACAGACAAGATAAAATATGTCCTGCAAATGAAGACTATAGAGAACTTTCTAAACCTCAGCTTAAGCTCTGGGTGAAAAATCAAAGAAAATTTTGTTTCCTTGAGAATTCTTACACCAGGTGTGCCCTCATATGAGTTTGACAATTGCATTTAGATTAACTTTTTGACCTGGGAAATTAATATAAAAGTGGTGTCTAGCTGGGTGACCTGGAGAAAACAAATACAAACACTTTCTGATGAGACGCCCACAGATAAAGTTGTTCCAAATGAGTTTCAAGTAAAAATATAGTAGAAAACGATTTATCTTGGTCAAGCATGATTTGAAACCACAAACAAGAGCATAAAAATCCTGAAACATAAACCTCGTTAAACTGAAAATAGGTAGCCAAAAAAAAAAGAAAAAGAGAGAGAGAGAGAGAAATGTCACACTTAGTAGGGATATTATAGAATTTCCCTTATAATTATTACCAAGATAAGTTTTCCTACTATTACCCTTAATATTTTCACTAAAAAATCATACTAAATAGTGTAAGTCTGAAAACAGTAGTAAGAGACATAAGAATCAATAAGAAATAGCTTTCATTTCTTAGATGAAAGATAACCAATTTTGTCATTATTTACATAGACTATATGAAATCTGTTTTCAGTTATGATAAGTCAATTTCACTAGATATAAATAAAAGAAGTGTTTTGGTAATCTTGCAATAACCAATAAAAATTAAAAAGGAACTTAAATTGCTTCAAAAATGTAAAAATGCACGCAACAGAAATCATACAGTACTTAGAAATGCATGTGTCAAGATTATGGAAATAATTATAAACATTTTTGAATAATACAAAGTAAAATTTAATCAGAATATGTAAGAGAAACATGA